GGGCACATCCAGGTCTGCGTCTCATCCTCCGTTCAAGAAGGCGGCGACGCCCGGGACTTCAAAGGCTCAGCCCGCCGAACCTTACAGCAAGCCGCAGCCTCCCCGTCAATCGGCATGGAGCAAAGGCTCCCCCTCCGAGTCAGCAGGACCGTTCAGCGGCTCGGAAGAAGAAGTCAAAGTCCTCCTAACAGCAGGACTGTCTTCACAGGGACTTCAAAAACAGAGAGACAATGTTCAGCTGCAGTTGAAAAGACATTTAAATATTTGTGTTTCAGAAAACGGCCCCAAGAGGGGTCGGGTTTCAAATGTTCAGTCTCCTCTGTTAATGTCCTGAAAAATAAACAAAAAAACATGTGGCCCCACATGTAGCCCCCTCCTTGGGTTCAAATTGTGTTTTAAAATGCAAAACTTTAATAAACAGTTCTGCAAATGTTTTCAATTTGTCATTCAAGAATTATCTTTGTGCAAAAACGAACACAATAAACTGCGGGCGACAGTCAGTAATGTTGTCCCTTCCCCTTCCAGTGGAGGGCAGCAGCGACACGTCTCCAACAGTAAGGCAAGTCAGTCGCTTAGCAACGCGACTCCCTCTCTGGCGAGCATGTGCACCCTCTCCATGGGTACAAAGAACTGTTGCTATGGGTTACAGGCTGCAGTTCTGCGTCAGGCTGCCTTGCTTTCAGGCCATTGTAAACACAGTGGTGACAAACGAGGCAGCCGCCATTTTAAGAGAGGAAATTTGCACGTTGCTAACAGAGAGCTATTCGAGTGGTTCCTGCTGCAGAAACACAAAAAGGTCTGTACAGCCGTTATTTTCTTGTTCCGAAGAAAGGGGGCGGCCTGCGGCCTATTTTGGATCTGAGAGCGTTAAACCGGTACCTTCAAACATACAGGTTCAAAATGTTAACGCTCAAACAGCTAATTCACTCGATCAGCCCGGGTGATTGGTTTGCGACCATCGATTTAACGGACGCCTATTTTCACATAGCGATTCACCCGGAGCACAGAAAATATCTCAGGTTCGCCTTCGAGGGTGTAGCCTACGAGTACCTGGTGCTACCGCTCGGTTTATCGCTAGCTCCTCGCACCTTTGCAAAGTGCGTAGAAGCTGCGTTGACTCCTCTCAGGGAAACGGGGGGTCCGTCTGTTAGCATATTTAGACGACTGGGCTCTGATCACAAGCTCCAAGGAGCAAACATTAGATCAGCTGTCTCAGGTTCTGTCACACATTCAGGCTTTAGGGTTTTTAGTAAACACCCAGAAAAGTCTACTAACACCAAGTCAGCAGTTTTCGTTCCTCAGACTAGAAATCTGCTCCTTGTCAAGCAGGACTCGCCTCTCAGAAAACAGAGCGGCCGCGTTTCACCGCTGCTTAGCTCAGCTTCAACTGGGACGCAAACTGAGCTTCAAAACCTTACTACAGTTACTGGGAATGATGGCTTCCATGATTTCAGTAGTACCACTCGGGCTGTTAAAAATGCACCGTTTTCAGCGTTGGTCTCAGTCCCACAGGCTGTGTTCGTCTCGACACAGACACAAAAAACTAACGATAACTACTTCCTGCATGACGGCTCTCAGCCCCTGGAGGGAACCCGGCCTCCTGATCAGGGTTCCCCAATAGGGGAGGGTGTCGTTTCGCAAAGTGGTGTCCACAGATGCCCCCCTGAAAGGTTGGGGAGCCCTGTGCAACGGCGCAGCGGTGAGGGGAACCTGGACTCCACAACAGTCCAGGCTCCACATAAACTGCCTAGAATTGTTAGCAGTCCTGTTAGCACTGAAACATTTTTGTCCATTTCTGGAGAACCATCATCTTCTAATCAGAACCGACAACACAGCAGTGGTCTCTTATATAAACAGACAAGGGGGGACTCGGTCCCTTCCCCTGCTGAACCTGTCTCACACTCTTTTACAGTGGAGCAGTGTTCATTTTGTCTATCAGAGCCATTCATGTTCCGGGGAGACTGAACCTAGGTCCAGACCTCCTCTCCAGGGGCGGACCTCTAGCAAAGCAGTGGAGGCTGCATCCCACTGTGGTGGCCCAGATTTGGGTTTTGTTTGGCAAAGCGACAGTAGATCTGTTTGTCTCCAGAGCAAACACACACTGTCCTCTTTCTTTTCCATGACAGAGCAGAGCGCTCCTCTGGGAGTGGACACCCTAGCTCATCCTTGGCCTGATGTACTTCTGTATGTGTTTCCCCCAGTGGAAATGATACCACTTGTACTAGAGAGGGTGCGTAGACAGAGCCTGTCTTTGATCCTAGTGACACCCCGCTGGCCAGCGAAGTCTTGGTACGCCAAGATAATCAGCTTGCTAGCAGCTCAACCCTGGCAACTTCCGGTTCGACGAGATCTCCTCTCTCAGGCAGAGGGGGAGATTTTTCACCCACACCCAGAACTATGGAAGCTGCATGCTTACCTGCTGAAAGGTCCAGCTTATTAGCCAAAGGCCTTTCTCCAGCAGTAATAGCAACTATCCAAAACACAAAAGCTTCATCCTCTAGAGGATTATATTCCTATAAGTGGCAAGCTTTTGAGCGATGGTGTAAGAACGGGCACCTGGACCCTTTTCAGTGTGCAATAGGAGATGTTTTAACATTTCTTCAGGAGCTACTGGATAAAGGGCTCTCCTTCTCCACAATTAAAGTCTACTTAGCAGCCATTTCTGCCTGCCATGCAGGTTTTGATGGATTCACACCTGGTGCTCATCCTTTAGCTGTGCGTTTTCTGAAAGGGGTTCGTAAGCTACGGCCTGCTATTAAACCCAGTATTCCCTCTTGGGACCTCACTGTGGTTCTTGAGGCTCTCTGCGACCTTCCATTTGAGCCCCTAGAGTCTGTAGTTGAAGTTTCTTTCATATAAAGTTGCTTTGCTTCTGGCTTTAGCTACAGCTGAACGGGTCGGGGACCTCCATGCTCTGTCAGTGAACCCCTCCTGTATCCAGTTTTCTACTAATGACTCTAAAGTGGTTTTGCACCCTAACTCTGCGTATCTTCCTAAGGTGATACCTAGACAAAGACTCTCTCACTGGATTGTAGAGGCCATCTTGCTAGCATACAGCAGCAAAAACCTTCCAATCCCTCTTGGAGTTAAAGCTCACTCCACCAGGGGTGTAGCGACATYTTGGGCCCTTTTTAAAKGGGTACCTGTGAGTGAYATTTGTGCCRCGGCCAGCTGGGCCTCACCAAACACATTTGCACGATTTTACAGCCTGGATGTAACAGCACCTTCGGTGGCTCATTCTGTACTTTCTGCCAGGTCCAAAGCTCTGCATTAGTACAGTACTTACTAAGGCACACTACTTAAGCTCAGGTCTGATACTGCTCTGCGGGGCTCTTTGACAAGTCCCATATACAACTGTGTGTTGTACTGAGTGAAATGACTGAAAAGGAACATAAGGTTATGAATATAACCACGGTTCCTTGAAGGAATGGAACGAAGTTCAACACCTTGTTAGTCCCGCATCACAAAGGCTCGGTGAAGGGCGGTATCTAACTGAGTAATGACGCTGGTGACTCCGAACTTATAGGGTGAAGGCGGAGCCTGTCACCAGATGTTCAACGTCACCGGTCTAAAGATGTGATTAGAGGTGGCTTCAGCCAGGCGCGCAAAGGCGTGCGTGTCACATATACAACTGTGTGTTGTACTTCGTTCCATTCCTTCAAGGAACCGTGGTTATATTCATAACCTTACGTTTTTACACCACCAGAATGAAAGGACATGTCCAGGGAATAAATAACTTCAAAAATATAAACGGTAGATTAACTATTACAGATGGATGGTATTTTTGGACTATTTACAAAATGGAAAAAAAAAACAAATAAACCAAACTAAAAGTTATTTACAAGAAAACTGAACCATGGATTTTGTGAGCCAACCACCCCAATGAAGGACAATATGTTCATCTCACCTTATCTATTTTGTTCCCAACCAGCATTTTTACGATGTCGTTGCGTGTTGTGTACGTTTCCAACTCATTCAGCCAGTTTTCAAGTTTTGTAAACGAATCGCGTCTCGTGACATCATAAACTGTCAAAATAAAAGAACAGTTTTAGTGCAGTAACATCTTCTAAAAGTTTAAAATTGCTAACGGTCAAACTGATTTACATGTTGATTATTAATCTTTTTCTACTGCATTAGGCCAATGGTTATATAAAGCTGCACTGTAGTAAAACCAAACAAGAGGAACTCCAGTAAACATGTAGGGAGTGAAACCAGATGAGACAAAAACAAAGAAGACTCATCAGTTTACCAAGTATGACTCCCTGTGCACCGCGGTAATAGCTGGGTGTCAAAGTGCGAAACCTCTCCTGTCCTGCTGTGTCCTGAACAAAGACAATTGGACAAAAAAAAAAAAACGTTAAAACTTTTGAAGACCAGCACACACAGTACATTTGTACCCAATAAATAATGTGAACTCCTGTCTTACAGTGGTTTTGTAATACCTTTTGAACACAACAAAGACTGGAACTTGCATTTAGGGATTCGTTTTTTTGGGTTCACAGCTTCAAGTTTCACGCTGACCCAGTTCTACAGGCTCTGCTGTAAAATGTCGCCATCTTGTGGAGAAAACCTGTAGCTGCACCATTTAAAGCAGAAAAACACGACTTACCCAAATCGCTAGCTTGGCTTTGTTCCCTTCTATTGAGAGTGTCTTTACTTTAAAGTCCACACCTTGAAGCCACAAAAATACAGAAATGTGAGATTATTTGTGTGAGATAATTTAATTATTGTTAAAACACCATCTGTTTTTATGTCAGTATCGAACCTATCGTGGCCGACTGTTCTTCGTCAAACGTATCGTCTGTGAACCTCAGCAGGAGGCTATTGGAGAAACAAAGACAAGATGACAATGAGCAGGACAGAACAAACAGGCTTCAGGGAGGAAAAATGTTTTCTGCCAGGAGGCTCACACAGGACCGAAACAATAACAGTTCTTAGATTCACAACCGCGTGTTAGCAATTTGATTCAGAAACGAGTTAAACTAAGAAAACAATAGTAATCCAACATGTCAAAAACACTTGATGAACAGAGATGAGATGAGTACATTTACATAACGAGACGAAGAACTCTGTCAACATCACTACATTAGAGCTAGCTTAAAGTTCGCCGCTAGCACCAACAAACCTGGACTTTCCGACTCCACTTTCCCCGATTATTAACAGTTTCAGAGTCGTGAGCACGTCTTCATCCATATTCTCCTAAAAGTCAGTCCGACCTCCAGCTGGAGATTCTCCGGTGACGAAAGACCAACTTGTTGGTAGCAGGACGCTAGCAGCAAGAGGCTAGCAGCAGCTCTGACGGCGAGACTTCCGCCTAATCCACGTTACGTCACGGGGGCTCGCGAGGATGATGA